TCACAGGTCTCTGGCTGAACGGAAGCATCGCTGCCGGAAGTTTTATCAAGTCGTCGCCCGGCGACGTCAGGCGGCGTTCCTCCGTTCCTGTCCCCCCGCGTCAAACAAAAATGAATGAGACACATTTTCAAACGAAAGCCGACTTATTATTACAAGGGTTTGAAGTTTGCACGGACATTTATATAATAACAGCACGTGCTTATAACAAATGTGGTTACGGGAGATTATTAGAACATAAGACCCAGTGGCGGATACATGCATGTTTACCCCTAGAATTTGAAAACATGATTATTCAACCTCCGATAGTAGTTTGCATATAAGCAAAAATTGTTTAAGTGGTAATGGGACACCCTTAAAATTTGGAGAAATGATTATCCAACTTCTCGTAGTAGTTTGCGTATTGGTACAAATAATATTTAAGTAGTATTATATGTGATTTGAACTTGAGACACTGGGATTATTAGTAAACCTATTTTCAAACTACAACTCATTTGTTATTGCGTTTTAGATCCAAATATAATAGTAAAATGTTATTCTTATCCCAAATTATTTTCAAAACCTAACGATTAAACCCAATTATCGGATACACTTGTCTAATAATATATGTTGGGAGATATTTGTTGAGCAATATAGACACCGAATGTATTTGAACTTTTAATGTAACTTTTATTGGTCGGATATTTTTATATTTAATAATAATTATAATTAATTATAATATTTAATTTGATTTAATTTAATTTTGGGAGTTGACACCCTTATGTAGATTTCCTGGATCCGCCACGGATAAGACCTCTCTATTAATACATAATGCTCTTGTATCATATGTTGAGAATCAGTTGATCACAATAACTGTAGTGGTTTAGGTGTAGTTCGATTATGAATCGTACCTGAGATCGATCTGATGATCATCTGTGCTGCTAGAATTGGGAGGAGCCATTGTTGGAGCAATCGTTCTGGCGGATTCGCTCGAAGGAAGAAGGCCTGCGTGCATCCATGATATGAAGGGAAGCAAGATGGCCAACTTTGTGATCCTGGGAATGATCATCGCCATGCCTATGGATTCTTGAAGCTAAGTTGGATTTTGAGCACTGCTAGGTAGGTAGCTGCTTATATATATATATATATATACACACAATATGATCAAGACTTGGATCTCTTCGTATATATAATTCATTAATAATGGTATTGTTTGGATGAACTGAAATTCCTCTTATTGATTAATTAAACCATTCACATTATTAGGACTTGGCAGCCCCCGAGAAGGAATCAAAACGGGAAGACCTCTAAATTAACTCTTCTTATTAGCCATACTAGATGGCGATGCCGCGTCTTGTCGCGGAGCGGAGATAGTCTATGTAAATGTATTATGTAGCCCGTTATAGTGTTTTGTTAGTATTATTGGTCTAAAATTATTTTTTTTGTTAACAATTTTGTTAGTAATATATGGTTTGGAAGTTCGTAGATGAGTTTGGGTAGTGTATGGATATTTACTTTCATAATCTAAATTTGTATGAGTTGGGTATGGATACCCATTTATTCAAGGGTATTTTAATTACACATACAAAAATTAGACCTATATGTAGTACTTCAAAAGTTTAGGTACCACAATGTAATATACATAAATTTTAGGTACTAAATGTAATGTTCCATCAACATTTTGATGACTTATATGCCAAAAAAATAAATTTAGGTTATAAATATAAGGCAAAATTCATCTGTGTAGCCAAAACTTTCACGTTTATGACAATAATAGCCACTTTTGGTAAAATACCAAATATAGCCAGAATTTTGAAAGTTTCATGACAAATATAGCCATTTCCGTTACATATTTTAACGGCGTCAGTGACACCGTTAGTTAAACTAACGGAACGCTTATTTGGCTGCCAACTCAGCGGACACATCATCGACAACTCAACAACACTTGCCACATGGATGCCATGTCATATTTTAACTTTAAAATTAAATAAAAAAATCATAAATAAAAAAAGCATAATAATACAATAATTAATTCTTCCCTTTATTACTGTCGTTTACCATAAATACAATAATAAAAATCATAAAAAATAATAAAAATCGCGCCGGTGCTCACCGTCCGCCATTATTGTCGCCATCAGTCGATCCTCGCCGCCATCAGTCGATCCCAAATCCTCATCGCCATCAGTCGATCCTCGCCGCCATCAGTTGATCCTCGCCGCCATCAAGCATCTCTCTCCCCCGATTGAATCAAATCTGGCGCTCGTCGGGTCTCGGGAGTCTCAAATTTCTCGTCGAAGCAATGGGGGAAGAAGGGATTTATGGGTAAACGAGCAAAACTAAGCATACAAGATGGGATCTCTGGGTAGCCAAGAGACGCCAGAGACGCCGTCGACTCCAACGAACCACCTTCCTCTTCTGCTTTCCGCCGCCGCCGCTAATTGCTTCCCCACCGTCGCCCCTACGTACGCGTCGCCTCCGACGAATCACCTTCCTCTAACGCCTTCCGCTGTCGCCGCTAGCCGCTTCCAGTTTCACAGATCTAGAACAACCCCAGTGTTCCCGACTCTCGAGCTTCTCCTTCTTCCTCTTCCCCCGCCGCCGCGGTCCCATTCGACAGATTGAATTAGGGATGGAGGAGATTGCCGATGGAATTTGGGAATATGAGGAGATGAACTCCATGGTTTGGATGTATGATTCGGGGCTGGAGGCTCTGGGGAACTCGATTTGCCTCCTCAAGACAGAGATGCTTCGACGACAATGCCAGCGGCGGGTCGCGCCTCTACATCAACTCCCGCCGACGAACTCACGCTTGTCGTTTCTAGTGCTCGCAGTCGGGTACCACCGCTACCAACTCCCTCCTATTGCCGTCAACGATCGGCATCACTATCCCCCAGGCCTGCATTCAAGAATCTAGCGAATTTGGGAGGAAGAACTAGGGTTCTTGAATTTGGGGGTTTCCAAATCCGAATCTGGGGTACAGTTTCTTATGGATCAGGAGCGGTGACCATCATATTCAAAGCTTCTCTTCTATTTTGTGTGGTAAGAAAAGAAAAGTGGTTTTAGGATAAGTGGTGGAGACATGGAGGTGGAGTGGGGAAGAGAAGATGAACGAGAAGCAGAGTTAGGGGAAGGGAAGAAGGGTGAGAGATTTTTTTTTTTTTTTTTTTAACGGTGGAGAGATTTTTTTTTTGTATTTTTTTTGGTAATTTTGTTTTATTTAAGCTCATTAAAATAAAAAGGTAAAATTATGATGGTTTTCCACCTGGCATTGTTACTTACGAAAATTTTTGCCACATCAGCCTTACCGTTAGCCCAGTCAGCACATTCACTAACACCGTCAAACAATTGGACGGAAGTGGCTATTTTTGGTATTTCGCCAAAAGTGGCTATATTTGGCCAAACCATCAAAGTTTTGGCTATACAAGTGTATTTTGCCTAAATATAAAGATTTATTAAGTTTAGGTACCAAACTTGCATAGTCGAGGCTTAATTCCTTTTATGGTGATGTATCTAAAATGATAATTATTTACCTTTTTTATAGAAAAATGGAAACTATTTATTTTATATGTGTAGATACCTATCCAAACATTCCATCTATAATTATTGAAAATTCTAACCCGGGTGAAAAAGGAAAACTCTAGAGAGAAGTAAAAAGAATACAAACTGAAACTCGCTTAAAATTTCACGCCTTCAAATCCCATAGTGAAAAATGACGAGTTTGTAATAAGTAATAACCATATTTATTTATTTTTAATTAGACTCGACATTGAGCTGAAACAGTTAGCGGTTCATGCTTCAATTATTAATTCTCTAGACTGTTGGTGAGTCGTGTATGGACCAGTTCATACTTGTGATTCGAATACATAAAAATAGTATACTAATTAGGGTTAGACGAAGAAGGCAAAGAAAGAAATAAAGAAAGGGTTATGGAAGGCGAGTGAAAAATGGAATGAAGAGGAAATAGATGATGAAATGTTTTGATCAATTATTTTAGTTGGTTGTCAATAATACAACAGTCAACCCTTTTAGACGTCGCATATTTTGTAACATGTAACTAGTAGAAGTTTGTCTAGTACCTCATAAATGTACTAAATGAGTTTATAAGTTCGCTCTTGCAATATTTTAGAGTTGTCTCTCTTTTATCATTTATTTAATGTTTCACGTTATGAACAAATATAAAATGGCCGAATCTTCTCCTAAAATTGAGTGATACAACATCTTGTATTGTACAGACTAAACTTATACTTTTATGTTATGGTGGATTGGATTCATGGATTGGTTCAAAAGAATTGGTGGATTGGATTCATAGATTCAAGTGAAATCTAAACATCGGACCAATATGTAAATTTAATTAAATTTGGGGATTGGGTAGGAAAATCTCATAAAATTTAGATATTAAACATAATTGTTCAATAATTTTACATTAAAAGTAAATTTGGGGTATCTAAATGTAAAATATAAATTATAGTAACTAAATTGTGATTTAATTAAATTTGGGGTATCAAAATGTAAATAATTATGTAACTGTAAACCAAATTCATATTTATATATAGTAATAATTTTGGAAAATTGAAGCTTATCCTATTTGAGTTGTTTTTTGGGTAGAATATTTGAGTTTTTCTTTGTTATTGGGAACTATAAAAAAGAGGGTTGTGGTCGACAATGAATGGACAATTAGTTTGGACGTTTTCTCTTGACAAAAAAAAAAAAAATAGTTTGGAATTTTTTCCCAAATCGCATCATGAACGGTTCCTTATTTTGACTACGCGCTTACTAGTTCAGAAATTGTGCTTGATATCAGGTTGGGTTGCTGACGGACTAGCATGATACTGTTAGGGCACTATACATGAAGCATGGATGTGACATTTAAATGTTGGTTCGACATGAGCACGGGTATTTTATGGGTGATTTCGTGCTTCAACTTTATGGGTCCAACCACGATATGATATAAATACATGGCCTGTGGACCACCAAACGGTTTTGGCACCTCAAAGATAAAGTTTTTTCATAGAAAATACATATAAATTTACCTATAATTTTCATTTTTGGCCAAAGATATTTTGGAAATGAACAATCATATACAATAACATACAAGACATTTACAGGTCAATAATTAAAAAAAAAAAAAAGAGAAACGTCGGTCAACTAGAAGCCGAGCCAACAATAAAAAATGACATGTTTTGCCACGATATAGGTAGTCATTTGTACCTACGAGGTGTGATGCGCATTGTGGCGATGTACTGAGAATATCTCCAAATCCGATACACTGAGAATTAGGGTTGGAATCCGGTCCCGGTTTTCCGGTCAAACCGGAAATCAGCTAGTTTAAACCGTCCTGGTTGTAAACGGAAACCGAATTCCCATTAACCCAATCCAATTTGCGGTTGTAGGATTCACAAAAAAAAAAACTGGCCCTGTCCGATCCGGTTAAAACCGAGAAAAACCGGAAAACCGGATAATACAAATATAGGCAGCCCACCTCCCAATCCCATAGCCTAGCCCAGTCCCAGTCCTAGTCCCAGCCCGAGCCCACTCCCTAACCCTAGTCGGCAATGATTTTCTTCTCTGTTCTCTCACTTCCTAACCCTCAACCTCTTCTATCTTCTCTGTTCACACTTTACAAAAACACACACACGCGAAGAAAAGAAGAAGAGAATCCAAGCTCCTCCGCCGGCCAATCGCCTCCCTTGATCGCGTCCCGTGACTCCCGACGGCGACCAGCCGAGAGCCGGCCATCGGCCCATCGCCACTCCGCCACCAAAACTCTCCAATCGCCTCCCTCCATCTTCCGATCTGACCTCCATCATCCAATCGTTCATCGCCACTCTCAGCAGCGACTCACCTCTCTCCCCGATGCAAACCAACGCTCGCCTCCTCTGTTCACGACATACATGGTGATGGTTGTGCATGCAAGAGGAAGGGGGAACAGAGGAGAGTTTATGGGTGCCAGATTCTCCCATCGGCTCTCCATGAAGCAAAGGAATGGGAGAAGAGAAGAAAGTAGAGGAAAGAAGTGGATTGCGTTGTTTGGTGGGAGAGAGCAATGGCGGCAACGATAGAGATGGAAGAAGATAGGGTTTTGAGGGATTGTGTGGATGGGGATAGAGGGCCAGAGGCGTGGTATGGTGTACAAATTTTTATAATTTTTTTTTAATTTCATTTGCAAACGACAGCGTGTTGGGATGGAATAAACCAATCCAGTTTTTTATTTAAAACCGGACCAAACCGTATTGCATCCAATTCGGTTTGGTCAAAACCGGGTTACAATCCAATCCCGTCTTCAGTCGTGGGATTGTCTAATACGGTTGTACAAAACCGGATCAATCCGATCCGGTTTAAACCAAACCGGACTGTTTCCCAGCCCTACTGATAATATTGCAAGGCTGAATGACTGCTCGGCATGGACAAAATCTATGACTCGGCTTCTACTCTTCAATTACGCTAGGAAGAGTTTCACTTGATGACAATGGCTTCGAAGTAGTAACAACAATTACACTGAACTCCTCTACTCTTCAATTACGTAGGAAGAGTTTCACCTGATGACAATGGCTTCGAAGTAATAACAACAATTACACTGAACTCGCGATTCTCAGATGTGTTCTATGACAAGTAGAAATGGAGTTTTTTTCTGAGTCTATTTTTGACAGATTCCAAAAGGATATATATCAGTATATATTTCGGGCGAAAGCTAAGTTTCTTTGGATTTTGAAGGTTATAGATAAGGAATTCGGTCCGAGATTTTTCTCCACCGATGATGAATTCTATTTATTGTCGATTTGGGAGGAATTTTTTCAGAGGGCTTTTATCACATATTCGGCTTGAGACTTTCTTCACCGATGATAAAGTCTATTAAGAACTGATTTGGGAGGATTTTTTTTTGGTCATTTTTTGAAAGATTCCAAAGGGGTATCATCATAAATTTCAGAAGATTTTTTTGAAAGCCCATTTTCCTTGGATTTTGAAGGTTATAGGTCATGGATTTGGCATGAGGTTGTTTCTCCACTGCGATGAAGTCCATTTATCTCCGATTTGGGCAGAAATTTTTTGGAGGGTATTTCCGTAATTTTTTGGGCGATTTATTCAAAAAGACATTTTCCTTGAATTTTGAAGGCTACTTATCACGGATTTGGCCTGAGGCTATTATTCATCGATGATTAAGTCTATTAAACACTGATTTAGGCGAATTTTTTTGGGGTTAATTTCTGACAAATTCCAGTGCGGTATTCATCACAGATTTTGGTAGATTTTTTTGGAAATCCCCTTTTCCTTGAATTTTGAAGGTTATAGTTCACAGATTTTGCCCGAGGCTCTCCTCCACCGATGATGAAGTCTATTTATCGTTGATTTGGGTGAAATTTTTTCAGAGGGTTTTTTCGTAATTTTTTGGGCGATTTTTTCATCAGGCCATTTTTCTTAAATTTTGAAGGCTACTGATCACGAATTTTGCATGAGGCTATTCTTCACCGATGATCAAATCTATTAAGCACCAATTAGGTCGGATTTTTTCTAGTCAATTTTGACATATTCCCAAGGGGAGTACTATCACAGATTTCAGTATTTTTTTTTAAAGATACAGATCGCGGATTCGGCCTGCGGTTGTTCTTCATCAATAATAAAGTTTATTTATTGCTTATTTGGGCAGACATTTTTCGGAGAGCATTTTCTTGATTTTTTGGGAGATTTTTTTTTTGAAATACCATTTCCTTGTATTTTGAAGACTACAGATCACGAATTTGGTCTGAGACTATTTTTCAAAGATAATTAAGTCTACTAAGTACTGATTTGAGCGAATTTTTTCTGGTCCATTTTTAGGGGCAAATACCTCACATACCATTATAATTTGACAATTGAAGCAAACATACTAATTAAGTTAGTACAAGACAAGATACAACTGAAATTGTCAAAATTGGCATCCGTCAAGGAAAGGAATGAGATTTGAGCCTCAAATTTATGAAGGTAAATACAATAAGCAAACAACCGCTCAGAGAAATAGAAAGAAGAATATTGAATATTCAATCAGGGAGTTTTGATATGCTAATAGTCATCATTGGGAGTTGCTTGGAGTATAGGATTTGAATGATGGATTTTTAGAATCCATAAATTCAGAAGAAACTCTTTCTTTTTTTATACTGTATATGGAATTTTAGTTGTAGAAATTTCAATTCTAGGGAATACGGATGTCAAATACTGTTCACTTGAGAGACAGTACACCTTCAATTATTGAGATTAGTTATCATCAAATGCCAAAAAATAATACGAACCATGTACGCAGAAGAAAAGAGTACGAAAAAGACTAACATGTTATGTATTAGAACCATTTTTATTCGCGTATTACAATTGAAAAAGCTGATAATTATTTGAGATTTCACTCATAAGAATTATTTTACTTAAAAACCTAGCCAGCTCCAACCCACAAGCTTGCTCGCAAACTGCTATTGGACTCATCTTCAGGAAAGCAAGGGAAAATTGCCTCTCTAATCTCTATGAAGCAATATCAGGATAGCACAAGCATGCTCTACAGTTACAATCTATGTGGTATCCAATCTCACACTTGAAATTCAGAGAGCACTGCAAATTGTAGCAAATGGCAATACAGTACTCATCCCGCTGAACGGAAGCATTATTGCCGGAAGTTGCATGAGGTCGTCGGCCGGCGATGTCAGACGTTCCTCTGTTACTGCTAGGTCGGTGCTGACGGTGGCGATTCCTGCCCCTTGTCGGACGAAAATCAACTCATATAAGTTTGAAAAGTTTGTACAGGTCGAAATACTATATGCTTTATATCAAAGTGAATTTACGAATTATAAGCCAACTTGAAAGGGTATATGAAGTTTGCACTAACATCGTAATTAACAGATGTGGTCACAAGGAGTTCGCATAGTAGAGTTTAAGGTTATAGAAGGCTCTGATATATACCATAGAAGTGACAATTTTGTCTCCAATCCACTTGAATATTCAACTAATCCAGTCCATTTAAATCCAATCTATTTGAACCAAGTCCAATTGGATTGGTGGATTCATGGATTGTTGACAAATTACAAGTGAGTATCTATATTTTAAAATTTGGTACCTAAACTTTTTTTTTAATCAGAAAAAATCATTGGAAAATTAAGTTTTTGTACCTAGTTTTTTTATTGTAATATGTTAGGACTTAAACTTTTCAAAATTTACATATTGGTCATGCGTTTAGTTGGCACTTTGATTGGATCCATGATCTGATCCACCAATTCATTTAATCTATAGATCCACCAATCCATTAATACAATCTATTTCCCACCTCTAGTTTCAATAACTCGAGTTGTTGTAAAAGGTTCGATTATAGATCGTATACCTCATAATAACATGGACTAGCTAGCTAGCTGCGGGGATCTGAGTTTCATACCTGTGATCGATCTGATGATCATCTGTGCTGCTAGAATTGGGAGGAGCCATTGTAATTGGAGCATCATTCTTCTTCCCCCATTGTTGCGGAGCAATCGTTGATCTGGCCGATTCGATTGAAGGCAGAAGTCCTGCGTGCATCAATGATATGAAGTGAAGTAAGATGGCCAACTTAGTGATACTGGGAATAATGATCGCCATGACTATGGATTCTTGAAGCTAAGTGTGTTTGGATGTTGAGCACTGCTAGGTAGGTAGCTGTTTATATATATATAATAGCTTAGTTTGGCCCAGCTGTAGGTTTTGTAGAAGCAGATTTTGGCTGGAGCTTTTAAATAAGTATTTTTCAAAAAAGCAGTTGAGTGTTTACTGTTTGGCTGTAAAATAATTAAAAGTGTTTTTTAATACGAGAGGTTGTGTAAAATGACTATAAAGGACTTATAATATAAAATATGAATAAAAATTCTAAACAATAAAAAGTAGTCGATGTTGTTAGATTTCTTTTATAGTAAATAATATGATTTTATAATTTTTTTTATTTTTAAAATGATATAAATGAAGGAAAATAATATTTTCTGAAATAAAATTAAAATATGGTAAGGATAATCTTGTATTTTCAAAACTGCTTTTCGCAGAAGCTCCAAACCGTAGCTTCTGCTTTTATGTTATACAAAAGCGTTTTTCGACTTTTCAAAAGCCGAGTTTCTAGAGGTGTTTTTGGCCCTACTTCGGCTTTTGAAGCTGAAATACACTTCTAAAAACCTGACCAAACATAGACAATATGATCAAGTGTGGCGAAGACTTGGATCTCTTTGTATATATTATCCATTAATAATGTGTTAGTTGGATTAATTGGAATTCCTCTTCCTGATTGATTAAACGATTCGGATTATTAGGATATGGCAGCCCCCTATCGAAGGAATCAAAAACTGGAAGACCTCTAAATTAACTTTTCGTTTAAGCCATATAAATATAAATATATATAATATTGGAATAGCTTATCCTATATTGAGTATTTCTTTGTTGTTGGGAACTATAAACAAGTGTTGTGGTCGACAATTAATGGACAAAACAGCGGTCAAACCTGTTAGTTTGGACGTTTACAGGAATTTATTTTTGGGGAAATTTCTTCGAAATCGCATCATGAACTGTTTCTTATTTTGACAACGCGTATACTAATCCAGAACTTGTGCTTGATACCAGGTTGGATCACCAAAGGACTAGCATGACACGATTAGAGCATGACATGAGTATGGATGTGAAATTTACATGCCAATTTGGCATGAGCACGCGAGCATTTTCATGATTGTGGATCCAAATTTATATATATATTTTGCCTTGTGGACCTAATGTTTCTAACCTCAAAGATAATTACTTTTCATAGAAAATACACAAAATTTACCTAAGATTTTCTTTTTTTGGCCAAAGATATTTTGGAAAGGAACGATAATATACAATATATATATTTTTGCAGGTCACATGACAAAAAAAATAGGGAATGTTAGGGGTCGTTTCGAAATTGTGATTTCAAATGGTGTATTGATCTAATTCATGTATTTGTGAGATTAAGTCGTTTTTTTGGTTTATATAGAACTAGAATACATGCATTTACTTTTTGGAAGCCCCACCACAATCACTCAATATTGAGGGATTTACAATCTCTACTTTTTGTTGAGATTCTTCACAATCACTCAATACTAACTTTTTTACCTTTGGAACAAAAACACAATCTTTTTTTTTTTTTTTTTTTGACAAAAGATAATCATATATAGATTGAACAAAGATCATTACATCCTGGAGTTTAACCAGGCAGAGAAATCAAAATTGCGACATGAGACCGGGTACAAAGAAAGGGCCCTTCTAGCCACCAAATGGGCTACCCTATTACTACTCCGGCCTACAAATCGCACACTAAGCCCTGAATGCAGCGCAAAAAACCCCGCGATCTCTTCCAGAATGGCTCCAATCTGATTATCCCGAGTGTTTGCTTGATTGATCTTATCAATAATCACCTTGGCATCTCCTTCAAAGCAAACCACCGAGAACCCAAGAGACAAACACCAGATAATAGCCTCCCTCAGCACCAGAGATTCGATGACTATGGGATCATCCACTCCATCAAACACAATCTAAACCTCCAAACAAGATATTTACCTAATACATCAATTGATTCAATCCATCAAATGATAATATACTAATTGTCCCAATACATCAATTAGTAAACTAGAAGCTGAGCCAATGATAAAA